TTAAGGCATGCCAGGCAAGAACGCAGCGGACTGCAGATTTTTCATTCTCCCTCTTCTATATTGTCTTCTAATTTACCTTTTATGCTTAGCTTGTAGGATTGTGGGAACTGACTTTTGCACATAGCTTAAGGAGGTCTCTCAAGGAACACTCTGTTATGTATAAACGTCCATGGATGTGCAGACCTGTTGCTGGACACTCTAGCTCCGTCCACGGGTGGCATGGTGGTTACACGCTGGGCGGCCAACCAAGGGCAGCCATTCGAAAGCAGCAGCCGCTGCTGCTCAGGAGCTTCCTGCTCCCGTCGCAGGTTACAGTCCCAGAAACCCCCAGGGCGGTCTGCCCAGTCCTATGGCGTCCATACGGGGTTGACTCCATGGCTGTGGGCTTGGGTTTTGGGGTCATCTTTTAAAAAATTAGTGATAACATATTTTATTAAATTCTATAGCTTTAAACTAAATCTACATTATCTTTTATAGCAAACGTTACCCTACCAATATACACTTTAGAGGTGTGTATTTAAAGAAATGAATGCCCTCACCAATCAATTTGTTATAATCAAGTGTTAACATCTGTGTGAGCTTATTTCTGAATCTTCATTGATCAATTATCCACCGTTAAGCCAATGCTATACTGTCATATTACAATTATGTCTTCTTATCCAGTAAAGCAAATCTTCCCATCTTGTCCATCTTTTAAAAAAAAAAAATTTTTTATTGAGGGCTCTTACAGCTCTTGTAACAATCCATATGAGATAGTTTATTGTGCTGATAAACACAAGTGGGATTAACTGAAGGGCAGAGAGATAAATGGCTTGGTGAGCCTCATCTTTATCTCTCGCTCTTTGATCATCGGACCAGTGTGCGGCTGCCTTGCTTGTCCTGTGCCTCAATTTAAAGGTTACACTACCTGTGGGATGCCTAGCCTGTGGACTGTGTCACTGTAAGTTGAGGTCCCTTTAAGACATCGCTGGAGCTGGGGACTGGTGGTTGGTGACCTGGCTGGCAGTTGGTGACCTGCCTTGTGATTGGCTGCTGTGCTGACATAGCCTAGCTCTCTCTATAAATAGAGGAAGATCTGGCAGCAGACTGGACTAGAAGGACTGCTAGTCTCTCACAACTCTCTCTCACGGGAGTGAGTTGTATTGAGCCATTTGTAGTACTTTATAATTTAACTGTTTATTTCTTGTATTATATGTTTATCTGTATATGATTCAACAGTTCATTTCTTGTTATATATCTAATTATCTTTATAAATATATTAAATTATCAGCAATTTGGTTTTCTCTCTCTAGAGAACCCTAACACACCATACATCCATTGTATCAAGCACATTTGTACATGTTGCCATCATTATTTTCTAGACATTTACTTTCTATTGAGCCCTTGGTGTCAGCTCCTCCTTTATACCCCACCCCACCCCGCCTACCCCCACTCTCATGACTCCTTGATAAATTATAAATCATTATTTTCATACCTTACACCAACCACTGTCTCCCTTCCCCAATGGTTTCTGTTGTTCGTCCCCTGGGGTGGGGTGGGGTGGTACAGTTATGTGTCAATCACCTCCCCTCCTCTCCCATCTTCCCCCTGCTCTCCTGGTATCTCCTGCTACTCCCATTCCTGTTCCTGGATTCCGGGTGTCGTGAGCTCTTATGGCTTATCTGTACCTGCGCACATGTTCCAGTCTAGCCTGAAAGGCAGGATGGGGGTCATGGTAGTGGGGAGTGAGGAAGCCACAAGGAACCAGAGGAGTCTTGTGGGTTTCATCTGTGCTGTACTGCACCTTAACTCATCCCTTCCCTGTGTCCCCTCTGTGAGGGATGTCCCATTGTTTACAGATGGGCTTTGGGTCTCTGCTCCAACCCCCCTCATTCTCAAAAATATATTTTTGTTTGTTTTGGGTCTTTTGATGCCTGTCACCCAGTTCCAGCAACACCTCATGATCCCACAGGCTGATGTGCTTCTTCCATGTGGGTGTGTGTCACTCCCTTGTACACCTGAGATTGGCAAATGTGTTACATATATATTTTTTTACAATAAAGAAAAAGTTCCTTATCTCTACCACCCCTGCTACATCCTGGGGTTATGCAGCCACCATAATATTTAACCATGTGGGTGATTCTGTCACTCTTCAGTTAAAACATTCCACTGGCTGCCATCTCACTCAGAGTAAGTGCCCAAGTCCCTACAATGACCCCAGGCCTGACAAGATGGGCTTTCTCTACTAAGACTCCATCCTCTCTCCTGGCTCACTCAGTTCTAGCCACATAGGGCCTTTCCACTTACAATCTGCCTGAAACACTTTCCTCTCAGAATGGACGGGGCTAGCTCATATTTCCCAGGTCTGCTTCAATCTCACTATGTCAGAGGTCCTTCCTTAAGACCGCATGTAAGACAGCAAGATTCTTCGGCATTGCCCATACCCTTTATTTTGTGATTTTTCCTGGTAACTGAAAAAAAAAAAAAAGCATTTTATTGGGGGCTCTTACATTAACACAATCCATCTGTCCAATGTGTCAAGCACATTGGTACCTATGTTGCCATTTTCCTGGTGATTTTTATCACCTTCTGATCGTTATATATTTGTGGCCTGCGTCCCAGAACAAGAATGTAAACACCAAGATGCCAGGAATTTTGTCTTTGTCTTGGAACCAACAATGACCATGTTAGAGGTATCAGTTAGCTTTCATTCAGTCCATCTTGTTCTCTATCATTAGCATTAAAAACACACCACCATGGAAGAAGCACACCAGCCTGTGTGACCACGAGCTGGCGAAGGGTTCAGGTATCAAGCATCAAAGAACAAAAAATCATATTGTAAAGGTGGGCGAGTGCAGAGTGGAAACTCAAAGCCCATCGGTAGGCAACTACTGATGGGTTGTGGGGAGATGAGCAAATCAAGGAACAGGGTAGCAATAATGAAACATAACTTTCCTCTAGTTCTTAAATGCTTCCTCCC